GCGCCCCCGGCTGGGCGCTTCCCCTCCCGGGCTCCAGCTGCGCAGGGGAAGCGGCGGCCGGGGGCGCAGGGTCTGGGGGCTGCCCGGCAAACCGTGAAGCCGGTAGCGCTGGGGCAGCCCTTTCCACATAGCTGGGAGTAGGAGGGAGGAGGGGGCGGGGTTGGGGCGGGGAAGGGGCGGAGTTGGAGCAGGGCTGGGGGTGGGAAATGGGCGGGGCCAGGAGGTCCTCTTTTTTTATTTGTTAACTATGGTAACCCTAGGTTTAAAGGCTTCCAGTCTGCTGAGGGCAAATCCCGCCCCCATGGCATCAAGGAACCTCCCCCGCCCTCATCGGTCCCCTCTCCAAATTTATGTCCAGCCTCTCTTAACTCCAGGCCCGTGTCCACTTCTGACCTCACCCTTGGGCCAAACGCCCCAGGTGGGGGAATGGATTTGGGGAGCTGGGCTGAGAACCAGGCATAGAAAGGAGGTAGACACTAGTTCTGTGTGGGGGATGTAGCTCAGTGGTAGAGTGCATGCTTTACCTCTGTGAGGCCCTGGGTTTGATCCCTGGCATCTCCAAGGGTTTTGTTATTGCAGGGCTGCATCTGGAGCTGGAGCTGTTTCCCTCTGAGGCTCTAGATCCAGGCAGCTCAACAGGGACTGAAAAAATGAAGGTTTCAGTAAAGGCAAGATCCAGCAGCAATGGGCAAAATGATTTATACACGGGTATCAGCCAATCAGCAACCGGTAAAGTGATTTATACCCAGATATCTGCCAATCAGCAATGAACACATTTATTTATATCCAGGTATCCTCCAATCAGCGAGAGGCAAAATGATTTATACCCAGGTATCCACAAATCAGCAAGGAGCAAAATAATTTATATGCAGGTATCCTTCCATCATCACTGGACAAAACAATTTACACTCAGCTACGCGTCACTCAGCAAGGGGCAAAATGATTTACACCTGGCTACGCTGCAATCAACGTACGAAGCAACATGATCAGCGAGTGCTCCTCACGGACTGCGTTTGAAGAATGGTTGAGTCTTGAAACTATGGGCAGAGGGGGGAAATCTGGAAAAAAGGTATTTCTTGTCTAGTTTTGCTTTCGTAAAGTAAAGGTTAAGGAACAGAATCTATCTACCCACACCCTAGCTGTCTATGCACCCCTCTGCTCACACACCCCTCTATTTGCCTACCTACCTACCCCAAAATGTACCTGCTTAGAAAGCCAGAGCTCTGAGCCATAACATGCCCATTGTGCCCATAAAGAAAAGACTCTCTACAGCAGGAAGGAGCAGCATTGGTATTACCCAGCTGTGATGGCCGAGTGGTTAAGGCGTTGGACTTGAAATCCAATGGGGTTTCCCTGCGCAGGTTCAAATCCTGCTCACAGCGATTAGCTACTTTTGCTCAGAGAGGCAATGCCCAGAGATCTTGCTGGCTCAGGGCATTTTTGGGGGTGAAATGCCAGGCAGGGACCTGTGGTTTGGCCCGGTGGGTGGCACTGCTGAGTCCAAGAAAAGCACATTCTGTGGCCAAGGGGCCAAAAATGACCCCCACATTTCTCAGAGGGGCTGGCTAGAGGATCCCCCAATGCTCAGAGAGAGAGGCCCTGGGTGGTCAGCATTCAGGACTCGCGCTCCTTCCACCCAACAAACCCATCATCGACTCTCCAGCCAAAACCCAGCCACTTGGGGTGGCCCTGGCTCTGGTGGAATCCAACTCCCGGGGCCAATCTGTGGATGTGAGCCCAGTGCCAGAGCCCTGATCCCCGCAGAGTGGCCTCCCCAGCCAGACACCGGCAGGGATGTATCCGCCGACAGGCCAGGGCAGAGGTATCGTGGAGATGCAAGGCTGGGTCTGCAGCTGCGGGCTGGAACTGGCCCCTGCGGGACCGAGCCGCTGGCGTTGTCCAACCCACAGCGAAACCCCCCACGGCACAGAAAGCCAGAGGGGTTCTGATCCCCATGCCACCTGCCTCCTGCCAGAGCCTGGGGAGCTTATCCCCCCTGTGTAAATCAGGAGTCACTTCTAGTGGCAGCAGAGGCGCCGATTCCCCTCTCGCTCACCCCAGTCTTTGGGCCAGCAGGTGGGATGGAGGGCGGGACATCAGCCCAAAAGCTGCCTTCAAACGGGCATCCCTGATGACCCTCTTCCAAGCCCCTCCCACCAAATAAGCTCCACCCACTTGAGCCACCAGCTTTGTCTACATAGGGAAATTGACTGGCGCGGTGTCAGGAATTAGGGCTTGCGGCAGAAGTCCTTCCCTTAGCCAGATGGCCCGACTGGCTGGAGGAACCCATGGACCCACGCTAAAGTCCAGCAGCGGTGGTCGATAACCACTCTGAGTCCCTCTCATGGCGAAGAACAGAATTGCCTGCATTGCCCTCGGTATGATCGCCATGTTTGCTACGCGGCGTTCAGCCCACGACTCCAACCCAGTCGCATGCAGGGGCTCAGGAAGGATGGGCCCTCCCCATCCATCTGTCTCGGCCCTTCCTGTTCTCTGCCAGTTTCGTTTCCTGAGAGCTAAGATGCTTTGGTCTAACTAATGTCAGTCTAGGGGTATCTACGTGAAATGGACCGGCCTGGAGGTCAGAGTAAATGCTCCGATGGACTCTTAAAACGTGATGGAACAATACTAACTAATCTTAATAAGATGCAGCTTTTCGGTGACACCTCAAGGTGTCGCCCTTTCCCTTCCATGGCGCCGTCTGTCCTACCGATACAACCCACAGTCGCTAATTAACATTAGACTAGGAGTACTTGTGGCACCTTAGAGACTAACAAATTTATTAGAGCATAAGCTTTCGTGGACTACAGCCCACTTCTTCGGATGCATACAGATTGTACAGCCCACTTCTTCAGATGCATACAGAGTGGAATAAATCTGTATGCATCCGAAGAAGTGGGCTGTAGTCCACGAAAGCTTATGCTCTAATAAATTTGTTAGTCTCTAAGGTGCCACAAGTACTCCTAGTCTAATGTTAATTAGCGACTGTGGGTTGTATCGGTAGGACAGACGGCGCCATGGAAGGGAAAGGGCGGCACCTTGAGGTGTCACCGAAAAGCTGCATCTTATTAAGATTAGTTAGTATTGTTCCATCACGTTTTAAGAGTCCATCGGAGCATTTACTCTGACCTCCAGGCCAGTCCATTTCACGTAGATACCCCTAGAC